GGTTAGGAAACAAGTATGGAGGAAGGGATTGCTTGGTTGGGTTGTGGAAGAGAAGAACGAGAAAGGGGGAAAATTTGATGGAACCCGTCTGGTTCTAGCCAAGTCATAAAATGGGGTGTCAAAGTTACAAAATGGTTCCTATAATTATATCCAACTTTTAAAATGGTCCCTCAACGTTCAATAACTCATCTATATCCCTAAATCTATTCAATTAGCTCCAATACCCTATATTTTCCTTCAATCTCTAATTCAAAACTCCACAATTAAATTTAACAAAATCATTCATATGCATAAAATAAAATCAAACATACAAACATAAACATACACATGCATAATTTGAAATTTATCTTGGAGTGTTACAGTTTTCCCCAATTGAATGTATAAACTTCAATTTTTTCCATTTAAGTATATTAATATTTTCAAAATTATCAATCAAATACTTTCATAAATATTTTTATTAACTGATCATGTGTCCGAATATGAATTATAATTCTTTTTTCTCTTATCCTTGTAAAACCTTATATAATGAAGACATATGAATTCTGAAAAAGACCTTTTGTAATTGCCAAATGAATTTAGACATGAGTTGCTGGGTACTTGCTTCACGTGAAGCATGAATAAGAGAGACAATAGCAAAGTAGCGTTTCACAGAGTTGATGGCATGGATAAGGAATTTGGGCTTCCAAGGAGTGCAGCGGCTGTTGTTAAGCCAATTGAGGTCTTGATTTGTGTACATGAGAGTAAAAGCTTAAGCAATGGAGCAGCATAGAGTTAAGAGCATTAAATTAAAGATAAATTTCAATTTACTTCTCTTGTATTTTTTTTTTCAATTTCATCTAAAACTTTTGATTTGTTCTAATTTGACATTGTTCAATTTTACCTAAATTTTAATCTCATCCAAAATGATAGAATATCCTTATATAACCCAAAGGTAAAAATTAAAAAAATTAAAATTGAAAAAATTATTAAGGAAAGATATTTTTTTAATAAAATAAATACGATAAAAAATAATATTTTTTTCATCAATACTATCTAACCATCCTTTAACAATACACGAATAAAATAAAGTTAAAAATAAATATGTTAAAACATATTTTTTTTTATAAACAGTCTCAGTTGCTATTGTTATTGTTTCCGATACCCTCTCTTACTAATATATTATATCTATATTATTTATACAACTTTTCATTAAAATATATTAAAACAAGAATTTTGAAAAGAAAATTGATATCCCTTATGAATAGAATCGTAGCTTGAGGACGGGACAACACCAAATTAAAGAAAAATGAGATACCATAGTTGAAAGTGATCAAAGTAGTGAAAGCTTTGACAAAAAAAAAGAAAAAGAGAAAGTTAAATTAATTTGAATCTCGATTTTCATTTAATTATAATATTGACAAAAAAAAGAAAATGTTGCAAAATGAGAATTGAAGCTGGTTGAATTTGATAATTCCTTGAGAAACTAATCTTCTCAAATTTTATCATATTTGTTTTAATAAAAGAATTTATTGATTTTTTAGTTTTAATTTTCGTTAATTTCAATTCATTTTTTTCTTTATTTTTGAATGATATTAAGATATTTCATAAATTTAGAAATAAAATTGAAATTTAAACAGTTTACAAAAATAGGCTAAGGGAGAAAACTTAAATAAAAATAAAAAGTATGGAGGTTGAAACAAAAATAAAAGATACTGATTGAAAAAAATAGTTTAATTTAATTGAATCAAAGGTTTTGGGTGAAATGTAAGATAATACCAAAACCTTAGAAGAGAAAATCAAAATTTATTTTTAAATTAAATATGATCAACTGATAAAATAGTTATTTTTTATTATTAAAAATTAATTAATTTGTTTTGATAAACTAAAAAAATTAAATAATAATAGACAAAAACATGAGGCCATGATCTAGAGACCCCAAGGCAGGGGTTACGCATGTGACTCACAGAGACGAAAATTGAGAGACTTGAATAATTCGGTATTAGTGGCATGATGTGTTTTTCAAACATCAATGCTATGATCCCATGATGTGTACCATAATTTCTTATAGTTGTCACTAGCTTAATACCCACTCGTTGCTGTGAGTAATTCTATAATAGGTATATTTTAATATTTTAAATAATTTAAAAATATAAATGTAAAAAAAATTAATTAAAACTCATTGTAAAAAATTACTTAATATATATATCATTGAATTTAAATATATCTTATGAATATTTTTTATTTTGATAAATAAAAAATACATATAATAGTTATTTATTTTTAAAAAAATCTAATTAGAAGGAGGTACTTAATCGATTTATATTAAAAAAATATTTAATTTTATTTAATGAATATTTATAAAAATAGAAAAGTATCCATTAATTATGAAAAAATTATTTTGATTAAATAATAATTAATAAAAAATAACCCAATCCATCAAAAAAATTACAAGAACCTTTCTATGATATTAATTAAAATTAAAAAAAATATTTGATATAAAATAATAACTTAAAAGATTAAAATATAAAATATTAAAAACTTATGATCTAAAAAAACAAACACTTTTGTAGATTGACTAAGTAATTATGCAAGGACAGACAAAATATTTCAGTGCCAATATAAAAACAAATGAAAGAAGAAAACTTGAAACTCCAAGACAAACATTAAATGCTCCCTAGGATTAAAAATAAACTGACGGAAAGGCCAGAAAAAGCTAAGGCGAGAAAGACCAAGAAGAGGAGGGCAGAAAAGTAACTTGGTATGAGGACAAAATGGCATCCAAGCAATTAAACACACAAATGAAGGGCACTGATAATCAATTGATGTTTCCTAAAAAGTACTGCGAGGGAGAATAACTGACTAAGAAGCAGTTTAAAGAGGAAATCAACGGTAGAGAGAGAGAGAGAGAGCACAAAACAGGTGGATGGCTGAAAGTGCATGAAACTGAGTCCACATTACCAATAGATGTATGTAAACAGTATTGAAACAGAAAAATCATCACCTGATTTAGTTTTATAACTAGCATATATTTCGTGCGTTATCATAAAATAAGCTATATAATATTCTTATGTATTTATTCATATAAAATTTAAAATTTAAAAATAATTATTTAAAAGGATCACATGAAAAAAATTCACAAAAAAACAAAACAAAATATATATCTCATATTTTTTTACGAGGGTTAGTTAAACGAAAAGTTTACAAAGTTGAGTAATATATTATTACTAATTAGATATTCTTTTATATAAACATGTATTTTATTAGAAACATGCATAATAACTTATAATTAAAATAATGATGTGGTAGAGTGATAGTTTTTAAAATTTTAGATGATTAATTTTTATCATATATTCTTCACGTGTAATTTATTGATGAGATAAAGAGACCATTCAAAATAAAAAGACAAAAAAGTTTTATCAAATCTAGAATTTAGAAAAAAAACATAGAGATAAAAAAATATAATAAAAATTGAATGATCAAAATAAAAAATAATTACAAAATAGGGACTAAAATAAATATAAAATTATGCTAAATTTAATGGCCAAAGCAAAGAAAAAAATCACAAAATAGGAATTATAATTGAAAGAAAAGTTTCACTAAAAAAAAAAAAACCTTAGGATAGTGAAACTTTATTTAGTTTTAGTATATTTAAGGATAAAAATCAAATATAATAAAATTTTAATTATTAAAATAAAAACATATCACAGGATAGGAAGCAAAAAAGAAAATAAATTTTTACTAAAAGTCAAGAAAAAATATTTATTATAAGGACAAAAAGCAAATATAATAATATTTTAATATTTGTTATTGAGATAAAAATTAAATATAATAAAATTTTTAATATTTACAAAGGAATAAAAATTAAATATAATAAAATTTTAATATTTATTATAGGGATGAAAATCAAATATAATAAAATATTAATGACTAAAATAAAAAAAATTACAAATCAAGGATTAAAATAAAAATAAAAATCAAAAGAGGGGCTTAAAAAGCATAGGAAGAGAAAGAGGAAGAAAAAAACAACAAAACCTAACCTGTGAACTGAAAGGAAAAAAAAAAAAAAAAAAAAAAAGTGGTGAACAGTGAATAAACAGGGAAAGTGCTACGGCACTTTCCCGTTTTCTTTTAGTTTATTGGTAAATAATATAGTAAAGTAATAGTAATGATGCATCCTGTATAAGTCTTGGGCTGGAACAAAGACTTAAATCATTTCTTTTTCCAAGGAGTGCTTCTATGGTGGACGCAGCTTGGTAATCACGAATAAAAGTTAAGGGGATTCTTGTCATCTTCATCAAGTCAATAGATTGAAAGAATTGATTAAGAAATTAAGACTGAACAATTTTTCCTTTGAATTGAGCTAACTTCTCCTCAGTGGATCTCTTTATGAGCAAATTAAGGAAATAAGGAAAAGAAGACAATATTTGGCTGTTATTAATTTTAGCGTTATGGAACATAGAGGATGAAAGATCAACAAGCACTTCAATAACTGGTAGACTTATTTCCTATATATATGTCAATTACTCTCTCTGTTTTGGTTCAGATCTTTTTGTTTGTTCTCAATTTGCTACTCATTTATGCCGTTTGTCTATGTTCGTGTATGTTTTGCTGGTGTTTTTTTCTTTCCATATATTTTAGGAATATTCAATAACCATTAAATAAAAACCAAATTAGTTTTCAGTAATATACTTATGGATATTCCATTTGCATTTATTGTCTTATCTGCCATTGGAATCAAAACCCAAGTTGGTCAATGAACTTTCTATTGATTTCCTCCATCTACTTTACCATTTTTTCTCTGGTTCTTGTACTTTCTCATCTTGCTATCTCTTCTCCATCGCTTGGTGCCCTATTTATTTGCGATTAAGTTATTAAAAAAACAAAAGTTGTTCGATGAATTTCTTGAAGAATTCTTGGTGACAGTTATTGACTAAATATTTTTACTTTTACATGATCGTTACTTATTATTACTCATTATAATCTTTTGCTGAACTTGTTCTGCTTGTTATAGAGCCTTTCCTATGGCTTCTACTTCTTCAGCTATTATTCCTCTAGAGAAGCATGATGTGTTCTTAAGTTTTAGAGGCACAGACACCCGTGATAATTTTGTCAGTTTCCTTCATCTTGAATTGGTGAGAAATGGGATTGAGACCTACGTCGATAATAGACTTCAAGGAGGAGATGTGATCGAGCCAGCCCTTTTGAGAAAGATTGAAGAATCGCTTATTTCAGTAGTCATTCTCTCCGCACATTATCCAGATTCTACCTTTTGTTTGAGGGAACTCTCGAAAATTCTTCACTGTAAGGAGACGAAAGGCCAAATTGTCATACCAGTTTTTTACAAAGTTTCTCCAGATGATGTCGGAAATCTGTGTGGGATATTTAGGGACGCGCTTCTCAAGCATGAAGAAAAATACAGTTTGGAAGAAGTGTCCATATGGAGACAAGCATTGGAAGAAATAGCCAAACTGAAAGGCTGGGATTCAAATGTCACTAAGTAAGTTATTGGCTTAATTTGTTAACTCTATGGGTGTGGCATGCACTTGCATAAATACAAACATATATTTGAACAATTTTGTTGATGCTATGATACATATCACGAATGAGTTTTCTTAGATTTTATTTCTTATTTTACTTACTAGTGTTTTGCTCTTCATTATGCACCAGGCCTGACACCAAACTAACTCAAGAAATTGTTGATGACGTCAAAAAGAAATTAAAGCGGATGCCTTTATCTGGTTCACCCTCAAGCAATTCAGGAAGGTTTGTTGGAATTACATCACGTGTTAAAGACATTGAATCCATGTTGTCCTTTGAATCACTCAGTGTGTTCATTGTGGGAATCTTGGGGATGGGTGGCATAGGCAAGTCAATAACTGCTAAAGCTGTATATGATCGAAACTATCATCGATTTGATGGCCATTTCTTTTTTCTAAGTGATAGGAAAGAATCACAAAAGTATGGACAACAAGAAATTCTTCGTGAAGCATTTAATAAGAAAGATTTGAATATTCAAGAAGACAACAGTAAGCGAGTGCTTCGAAGAAGTAAAGTTCTCATCGTTCTTGATAATGTGAATAGTTATTGGGATTTAAAAGATTTAGTAGGAGAGGCCGATTTGCTTGGCGAAGGAAGTAGAATCATTGTGACGAGTAGAGACAGGCAAGTGCTTGTAAATAAATGTGAAGAAGACAAAATATATGAGGTTAAATATTTAGATAAAGGTGATTCTCTCGAACTCTTCAGCTTACATGCTTTTCACCATAAGAATCCCGTAGAAGGCTATACAGAACTATCAAAAAGTGTGCTAAGCTATGTTGAAGGCATTCCATTAGTTCTGGAAGTTTTAGGATCTAGTCTGTACAAAAAGAGTAAAGAATATTGGAGAAGTAAGGTGGAAGAGCTAAGAAAAAATCGTGGAGATAACTTTAGAAGTTTGGAAATGTGTTATGATCAATTAAGTTGGACAGAAAAGAAAATATTTCTTGATATAGCATGTTTCTTTGGAAGGTGCAATAGGAATGATGTCCAACGAACACTACATCTCGAAGAAAGAAATGGAATAGACCGTCTCGCTGATATGTGTCTCATAAAAATTGTCCGCAATGAGATATGGATGCATGATGTGGTGCAACAACTAGGTCGAGAAATTGTCCTCAAAGAAGACAATGATCCTCGAAAACGTAGTAGGCTGTGGGAGGTTGAGGATATCCTCCATATATTAAAACATCATCAGGTACCGATCTCAAGTGATTAATTGACTGTCTTTTCACATAATTTGTGTTTTATAAGAGATGTAGCCTTGCATAAGATTAAAGATCAATGCTTGTTTGTTTCTTTTTCCCCTTGAAATCTTTATTTGTTGTATGCTGATTTAATTATTCTTTGATTTTAGTTGGTAAGGGATATTTATATACTGCAAAATTGTACAATAACTTACTCTTTGCTTTTGGTAATCAGGGGACAGAAAAAGTGGAAGCATTATCCCTCGACTTGTTTCCAACTAAGAAAATGAACTTATATCCTTTAAACATGGAGGATAACCTTAGATTGCCCAAATGGCCTGACAAAGGAATAAACTTTGCTGATGGCCATCAATGTCTGGTATGTTAGCATCTGCTTCTTTTATTGCATTTTGAAAATTAGTGATAAGCATGTATTTATTATTCTTACCTTGTCTTACGTCGTTACGGAGACTGATGAATTTGGAATTTATGACCCTCTGTGGCTCCAACAACCCGAGATTAATTAACTTGTCTAAAGTCCCAAATCTTGAGGTTCTAGATCTGTCATCCTGTGGTAGTTTGGTTGAGTTACCCGACTCGATTAAACACTGCACCAAGCTTGCTCAATTAGACCTTTCTGGGTGTACAAGTTGTCATACTTTGCCCTTATCAATTGAGAAACTCTCTCAACTTGTTAGATGGGATTTATCCTACCTCATAAAACTTAGGAGCCTTCTAAACAGCATTGGCCTGTTGAAATGTCTTGTACTGCGCAACCTTACTCGATGCACAGAATTAGCAAGTCTTCCAAACAGAATTGGCGAGTTAAAATGTCTTGCAAAGCTTGATCTTTGTTATTGCAAAAAATTAGCAAGTCTTCGATGTTTACCAGCGCTTCCATCAAGTCTACAAGTTTTAGATTGTGTCAGAATGCATCTCTCTAGAATCATAGCAAGTTTATTCTCACATGGTGAGAAGAAGTATGAAGCTGCTTATGAATGACACACGTTTAAGAATTCAACGCAGGGCAACATCTGTATTTCTCATCCTGCTGGTTTTTACCCAAAATATAGTACAATCTTCTATTTCATTAAAAAAAAAAAAAAAAAACACACTAAATGTTAAAATTTTGCCACTGCATGGGTAGATTAGTTAGTAAGACTAGAAGTTTCTTAGGCTGGAGTCAGGATTTTTATTCCTCATCTTTCCATTCTGAGATTATGCCAAGCTGCATTCTTCGGATCCATGAGTTTGGAGATGCTTCTGAGCCTAGAGGTTCGTAGCCAAAGGACGCAGCCTAGATGAACTGTGGTAAAAATTCAGATATTTGTGACTATAAATTATAGTTGGAAATTTTGGCACTGGTTTAGCTCAAAAAATAATAGATTTCGTTTTCGTTGATGTTAAAACTGATTAAAAAATATCACCCTTTCCATTAAAAAAATTACGGTTAAAAATATATAATTTTTTAAGAATATAGTTGAAAAATGCATACAGCTATAAAGACTAATATGGACTTTGGAGGAGTTGTGGCCAACGTCCTGGCTATTTTCACCTATGCCTCTTATGCCTTGTTTGTTTGTCAAAAATTAAATTTCCTAAAAAATGATTTTTGTTTGAGTAAATTACTTTTTGACATTTGACTAGGCCTGGAAAAATGAGTTGGAAATTACCTTTTGATGTTTGTTGTTTTTTGAAGATAACATCATCATTTTCATCCTTAGTTTTAAAACATATTTAATACCAATTTTTAACCAACGTAGCACAGTACTAATATATTACATAAATATGATATCAATATATATTAAGATATTATTTTATAATAAATATTGTGTGTGATATTATTGTACTTTTTATCAATATATTATATCAATAGAATATATGATTTATTAACTATATATTATTTTTCAACAATATTATGCAATATTATGGTGTTTTGCGCCATTTAAAACAGAAAAATGCCCTTTTATTTTTTGTTGGAAAATGAATTTTGTTCACCAATTTTCAGAATACCTCTAAACCTTGGAAAGTCATGAAAGTATTTTCCAAAAAAAAAATAATAATAATAAAATAAAATAAAAACGCTTTGCTAGAAAATACTTCCCTAGCAAATTAATATGTATTGCTAAGGTGCAAACCAAAATTCGTTTTCAAGTGAAAACATACATTGCTAGTATAACTCATGTGCCTGCCAGAAGAATCTCTGAAATCTAAGAGATGATTATGCATTTGTGTTTCCACCTATAAACCTTGAGGAGGAAACTGTATTTAGTAGTATTGAAGCTCCCATTGTTGCTCTATGTATCCTCTATGTGATTTCTTCCCAAATTTTAAGGTGTTTAATTAGATGAAATTTTTTATTGTTCTGTAATGCCTTCCTATATATGTATGACTGTGAACAGGAAACAAAAGACATACAAGGTATAATACTTGACTTTGAAAAGAAGAAATATAGGAAAACTCCCATTGAAAAGTTTAAGATGTTTCTTCGACAAGGAGCAGAGGATGGAGAGTTTATACTTGACACTGAAGCTTTGAAATCAATGGTTAATCTGAGACTGCTTCAAATCAATCATGCAAAAGTAGCAAGGGAAGTTCAAAAATTTTCCTGCTGGCCTGAAGTGGCTTCAGTGGAAAAATTGTCCTTTGAGAAATCTTCCTTCTGATTATGCTCCTCATAAGCTAGCTGTGCTTGATCTTTCGGAGAGTGGAATTGAACGAGTTTGGGGTTGGACCAGTAATAAGGTATGCTTTGTTTATTTAGTACATTTAATGGCATGAAAGAAAATGTTAAATTACTTTGGAATACTGTTCTGCTTTCATGATCTTCTTGGTTTTAGGTGGCTGAGAACTTGATGGTTATGAATCTTCGCCATTGCTATAATCTTGTGGCTTGTCCTGATTTATTTGGATGTAAAACCTTGGAAAAACTTGATCTTGAGGGTTGCGGTCGGCTAGCTAAGATTCACGAATCAGTGGGGAATTTAAGGACGTTACTTCAGTTGAACTTGAATGATTGCTTAAACCTTGTTGCTTTTCCAAGTGATATCTCTGGGCTAAGACTTCTTCAGAACCTCAATGTCTCTAACTGCCCTAAGTTAAAAGAATTGCCAAAGGACATAGGCAGCATGAAATCCTTAAAACAACTTCATGTTGATAAAACTGCTATATCAGTGCTGCCCGAATCTATATTCCGCCTTACAAAACTGGAGAAGCTTAGTTTGAATGGTTGCCAATTCATAAAAAGGCTGCCAAATGTCTTGGGACACCTGATTTCTCTGAAGGAGCTCTCTCTCAATCAATCTGCAGTAGAAGAACTGCCTGATTCTGTCGGATCTTTGTCAAACCTTGAGAAACTGAGTTTGATGCGGTGTCAATCACTTACTGCGATTCCTGAAACTGTTGGCAATCTCCAGTTATTGACTGAACTTGAGTTAGATGGGTCACCAATCTCAGATCTTCCAGAGCAGATTGGTGGTTTGAAAATGATTGAGAAGCTTTACATGAGGAAATGTACGTCTCTTAGATCTTTGCCAGAAGCAATTGGGAGCATATTGAATCTTACAACCATCAATTTGTTTGGTTGTAATATTATGGAGTTGCCTGAATCCTTTGGGAGGTTGGAAAACCTTGTTTGGTTGAGATTGGGTCTGTGCAAAAAGCTCCACAAGCTTCCAGTTTCTATAGGAGAGTTGAAGTCTCTGTGCCACTTGTTAATGGAGAAGACGGCTGTTACAGTACTGCCTGAAAGTTTTGGAAAGCTCTCCAGCTTAATGATATTGACAATGGGAAAAGAGCCACTTGAATCTCTCAGCACACACGAGCAGTCAGTTGTCCTCCCAGCTTCCTTCTCAGAACTCTCCTTGCTACAAGAACTAGATGCTCATGCTTGGAGAATATCAGGTAAAATTCTGGATGATTTTGAGAAACTGTCATCCTTAGAGTTCTTGCATCTTGGCTACAACAATTTTAGCAGCCTTCCATCTAGTTTACGTGGCCTATCTCTTTTAAAGAAGCTTTACTTACCCCACTGCGAACAACTTGAGTCTCTTCCTCCGCTTCCCTCAAGTTTAGAAGAAGTGGATGTTTCCAACTGCTTTGCTTTGGAAACGATATCAGATGTTTCAAACTTGGGAAGCTTAACGTTGCTGAACATCACAAATTGCGATAAAGTGGTGGATATTCCAGGCATTGAATGCTTGAAATCCCTGAAATGGCTATATATGAGCAATTGCAAGGCATGCTCCTTGAAAGTGAAGAGAAGACTATCCAAGGTTCTCTATCTTGAACCTATACGTGCCAGTTTTAGAGTAACAAGGTTTTGCCTCTTACACCATTTTACTTTTTCTTTTTTTTGTGCAGGTTTGCTTGAGGAACATACGCAACCTAAGTATCCCTGGTACCAAAATCCCAGATTGGTTTTCTCAAGAAGATGTAATTTATTTAGACAAAAGAAACCGTGAAATCAAAGCTGTGATTATAGGTGTAGTCGTCTCCCTCAGCCGTCTGATACGGGAGGACTTGAGATATTCCCCAGTTTTACCAGACATCCTGGTCAATGTACTTGATCAAAATAGACCTATTTTCAGCACCACGTTGTACTTAAAGGGAATACCGAATTGTCATGCAGATCAAATCCACTTATGTCGATATTCGCATTTCGATCCTTTTGTTTTAATGTTGAAAGATGGCTTTAAGATAGAGGTAAGAAAACGAAATCCACCTATGATTGAAGGGGTTGAGCTGAAGAAGTATGGAATCCATCTGGTTTATGAAGATGACGACGATTATGGTGGAAATGAAGAATCCTTGGAAGAAAGACATCAATCTGTGTCACTAAAACTGGCCAATTTTTTCAATTCATATGCAAGAAGATAGCCAAGTCTGTTGTAGTTGGAAAACAAAGTGCAGCATTTACATCTAAGGTAATGAATGATTTAAGAAGTTCATTAAGAATTCACTCTATGTTACTTGGTTAATTCATGCTTATATGCTTCTCTTTCTTTTTTTTTCAATATTTACAAGTAATCATGTATTTTCGGACTAGATTTTGCATCAATTGAAATTAAGTCAAACCACTTCCTGGACTAAACTAACGTTATGAATACGACTACTGAGACTGCTTCTTAAACTAAGTCTTGCTTATATGCTTTAGCTGATCTAACACTTTCACCTATTGAACATACAGTATTTCGAAGATCTTTTCTTGGATGGGAATGAGAATGGGAAATGGAAGGTGGTGTTACATTCAGTTTGGAGGATGCCAGGCAGTTCTTAGTTATATACCAAGAGACAACTTGTAAAGCCAAAACAGCTTCTCTGTTTGTTGGCTATGTGTTAATGTTATCTGAAATACTCCATGTTGGTATTTTATTTTTGTCTGGTCTGGAGAATTGTTTATGTCTGCTTAGAGAAAACGATTTAGTTGTAAATAGATTTAAAAAAACAAGAACAAATTAATTAATTGTTGAAACTATGAGGATTGTTTAATTCTTTTTGAAAACTTGAGGGACTAATTTTAATTTGGAGGGCCTAAACCGATAGTCTCCCATTTATTTTGATTGCCGTAAAGTGTAGCTGTAGCGACGCTTCATCCCACTTTTTTTGTAAGAAAATTTGTGGGCTGCGAACGTCTAGAACAAGCTTGTTGGCCTGGTTGTGTCCAAGCTTTTATGCAAGCATATGGCGCACCCGGACCCAATTTTTTTTTTTTTTGGAATTTTCTTTTCCTCTTTTTGAGTATTTTTATTTTTCCATTTTTTACAATAAATTTTCTCCAATATTATTCTTTGATTTTTAATACAACCTTACACAAAAATAATGATTATTTTTCATATTTTTATCTTTTTTGTGTTTATTTTTAAAAATCTTCTATCGAAGGTGATTATTATTGTAAAAAATATAGATTGATTTGCAACGCTCTAAAAGTCATTATTTATAAATTTAAGGTGTATAATTTTCAAAAATATTCTAACAATATGTCAATAGCACCAAAACTGAGTTGATATAACAATGAATATTTATTTATTTTAATATAAAAAATATCAGCATTGCTAATGGATTGGCATTTAGCGTGTGTGTATATATATATATTACTGAACAACAAGGATTTAATAGTTATTCATTTATCATATTTTAGTTTGTATTGATCTTCTAATGATTATGTTTCACTTCTTAATTGATCACAATTTTTCAACATGTCAAAAAAGTGATTATTATTATTATTATTTTTAAAGTAGCATAGATAAAATAATTCACCGGTTAATCTTATCCATTTGCTATGTAATTTTAAAATTAAATTTGAAATAATGGAACTTAATATTCTAAAATTTTCAATTCAAAATAATAAAAAAGTTTGAATCATCGGGTAGAGGATTATGAAGTTTTTTTTTATTAAACAATTTTTAACTCATTAACTTAAACTAAATATCCCTTCAAATATAAATTTCTCGAACGTCCTTTTAATGTTGATTTTTGCCTTCTTTCGATTGTTCACTCTTCTATTTTTTTTAATGTGAAATAAATAAACAATTGATTAATTACATGTTTATTTTTTATTTATCAAAATCAAATATATTTCTAAAAATAAATTTGAATAAAAAATAAAAAAATAATTTATTTTAAATAGAGCAAAATAAATATTATATTAACAATTTTCCATAATTAATATTGATTAATTTTAATTTACTTCATTTAAAATTTTTAAAATTAATTAAAATATTAAAGCAAAAATTTTAAGTTTACTCGCATCAACTCTTGGAGCCACTACAATAATATGCTAAGAAACCGGAGCTGACAAATAAATTAAATTGAGCACAACTAAAGATTGACCCCATAACTTTATATAAATTATTAAAAACACTTTTTTTTATATAAAATATTTATAGCATTTTATAAAAAATAATTTTTTAAAAAAGTTCAAAATTAGGGAGGTTAAAAATATTGATAAAATGTTTTTTTAATATAATTTATAAATATTTATAATATTTTATAAGAAAAAATATTAAGAATAGGAGGGTTAAACATATTTAAAAATATATATTTTTTAAAAAACTTAATTAATAGCAGAATGTTAAAACGATGTTGTTTTGATATTTCAAGTAATCGTCAACCTAATTGACCGTTAAATATAATAGCAATTAGAAAAAATGAATCAATTTTGCCTAAAAATCAATAATTTATATTCAAATTATGTAATTTGATACTAATAATCTAAAATTGCCAAATCGCAATAGGGTGAGAAAAAAAATTAACATTAAATAAAAAAATATAGATTCCTTTAGGGTCCAACTTATAAAGAATTTAGAATGCAGTTAGGACAAGAAAACAACACCTACTCTCTGACCTTTCTTTGCTTCTGTAATCTCTTTTGTTTCTGGGCTTCCAAGGCATCAACAACAAACTATGATTATAACATACATTAAAGTCAAGGAAGTTCATTGGTTGAGAGACGGGATAAGAAGATTATGATTCAAATCCACCATTCACAAATGTTAAAAAAATCTCTTCTCCATCGTTGTGGGTCACCGGCCAGGCGTTCCATTTCAAATGATATTCTCACCAAACTAGGTATGCCCTTATTTAGGGTTTGTTTAATTTGTGTCCGCATAATGCAGATCCAATTTATTAAAGGACCATCTCACCTATAACACACACTTTCTTAAGTGAAAGCTTCAACATTTGGGTTTGAAGCTTGCATAGGTTTATATTGCTTTGTGTTTGATACTTGAGAAATTGAAGATGATGAGACTTGAACTTAAGATCTCTTGGTCAACTAAGCTTCGATACCATATTAAAGGATCATCTCACCTAAAAGCTTAAGCTGATAGATGAAACTTCAAAATATAATTTATATTAGTCTCTAACAAGTTTCCTATTAAGGCAAAAGATACTCACAAACAAAATGTTTTGTCAATTAGATTTTTAAAGTTTCAAGCAATTTCTTTCATTCATTTCGATTAGACTAAATACTCAATTGGAAAATGTAAAAAAATATCTCCTCCATCCCTGTGGGTCACCGGCAGGCGCCTCATTTCAGATGACAATCTCACCAAACTAGGTTGGATTTGTTTGACTTGTGACTGCTGAACGTAACATAACAGATAACTTGTCGAGATTCAGTCTTATATTCTTTTTACTTCGACAGCTTGTTTGAAGGCTTTTCTTTGCTGTTGTTCTTGGTTGATTCTCAACACTTTGTCAAGTCTAGAAGTTTTATTCAGAAACTTTAGTGCTGTTTATTGGATAACCTGCAGAATTGACAACTCTGTATCCTCAGAGTAGACAGCATACCCGATCGGGTCAAAAGGTTCAAGCATTTTCCAACCTTAAACTTTCAATTGCACTGATTTCTCACTTTAAACTTTTGATGTCTGTGGAACTGCTTGTAGAAGATTTTGTCATGGGCCATTATTGGAACTTGGAAGTCATTTCTGCTACTCATCCTCTCAACTCTTGTATGTTTCTAGATTTAGAACATTTTATTTCACACCTTTCGAACAGAAGCTGGTCCTAGAGATTCAAGCAACTCCCAGCTAGCAGCTAGCAGACAAGAGTTTCTACGCGGAATTTCTCAAATGTCTCATAAGCAATTGAAAGTTCATATTAATATCTATGTGCATTGCCTTAAAGTGTTTGATCGAAACTATAAAAGGAGTTGATGACAATGTTATAACGGAAGGATAAATTTTTATTACAGATGAGATGAAGATGATTTTCAACTAGCTTCTGCATTGGAAACTGAAAAGCAACACGCATAAGCTCATGAAGCCAGCTTAAAATGAGGGAAGTGCTGATTCACCGTCAACTCCTTTGGACCTGACGCAAAGCATAAATTCAGCGACATGAGTTTCCCTATATATCGGTGAGCCATCAGACAGAAGCTCCTTTATTACCCCATACGGTTTGAATTTATTCGCTGCCCTTGGATAGAAAAAGCATGCAACGGATGTCCTGGGCATGACGTTTCTGGCAAGAACTCTGTGCTCCACACTTCTGAACTTATCATTGGTTATAAGCTACAAAATGTGAAAACAACTTTTTTATAGGATAGTTCGACCAATTATTTTCGCTCACAGTATAACAAAAGTAACAATCACTATCAATCATTAGATGGAATTTCAATTTTTCAAGAATTAAAAATTGTAAACTTATTTTTTCATTTTGAAAATTCAACCTCAAATGATGTTTTCTGAAATTTTTCTGAAAAAGGCAGGGATAAAGTCCACTGTTCATGTATGTAAGAATCTGTTTCTTTTAGGATTAAAATATCAAATCATCTATTGCAACTTTGCAAGTTATGTTTCTCTTGCAGCTTTGTTTCTACAAGTTCCAAGGGATGTTCACCGAGTCATAGTTTTCAATCACAAATGGAGTTGAAAAAATGATTGTGGTTGCGATCATAGATCGCAGTAGTAAAATAATAGTCACGACTGTTATATAACGTTAAACAACGATAATGGAATGTCCTAAAACCATTATATAACAATCATTATATAACGTAATAACCGTCAGTTAAATCTATACACTAAGCACAAAAATGCTTCAGGACTTGAAAATTGTTGAGAAGTTCAACGCCAACTTTGGTATAAAATGCTAGCTGTGAAGCCAAGCTTCAAAGAAAAGAATCCAACCATGTTACTACATTCAAGTTGCAGCCAGCGAGAGCCGAGGGGAATTTTTAATAGAACTTGGCCATGTGCTGGACATGTAAACCGATCTCAGGAAAGTGGCTTGTTTGAACCTCATAATATACTATGGGACCTATGAATATTGAAATTGGGTACGAAAATGTACATACAGGAAAAGTACTAAAGATTAGCCTCCGGGAAATAAAAATTTACCTGCATGAGGTCACCTATATTTACTATAAGAGCTCCCTGGAGAGGAGGAAGATCAAACCATTGATTTTGATGACGAACTTGGAGGCCTCCCAAGCTGTCTTGCAGAAGTATTGTCATAAACGAAGGATCTGTATGTTTGGTGGTGCCCAAAGTCAAGTCTGGTTCAGGACAAACTGGGTAATAATTGCACACTAAAGCTTGAGTTTCCATGCATTCTATGCTTGAAAGGTAGTCACTGCGAAGTCCGAGTGCCTCTGATAAGAACTCGGATAACGAGTTGCGAATTCTTTTCATGTGTCTCATGTATTCATTAACCTCCTCTCTGCAAAACACTTTGAATTTAATCTAGCAAGTAAATGACTCCAATGAAAACTGAATTAATTCAACCTTGACAATACCTGAAAATATCAGGAAAAAGTTCAGGGTCTAGTTTTCCGTCCTGAAAATCCAAAGCTACCACATCCCTCCAATTTCTTGGTGCTTCTGTCAGAAGGGGATTTCCATTGAAGAACCTGACTCGTTGATTAGGATCACGGGAGTACAACTTCATCTTCATCTCCTGTGGTTGCTCGTGGAATCGTCTCACGCCGGCTAACATCTTATCCATGACACTAACTGGAACTCCATGATTAACAATCTGAAAGAAACCCCATTTTTCTGATGCTTCGTGGATCTCATTAACTATCTCCTTTCGCCGGCAGCTTTCAAACCCTTTAATGTCTACGATTGGAACCTGAAGATTGATATTGGTAGTCTTAATCGATGACTTCTCCACATTCTCTGGTGAGTGAACAAAAAACCTTGGAATCTTTGTCACACCAGAGTCAACTAGTCCCTTGACACCAGCTTTTGTATCCTCAAATGCCTTCAATTCCTTAGCTCTGTCATAGTTGGACTCATCATCTTCAGGAATGGAATTTGCAGCTTTAGCATTAAGGACTTCCATATTGGCAACAATGGTTGGAAATCAGGGACAAGGACCTGTGTTTAATAAATTGAGCTGTTAGGTTTGGCCATTCAATCATAGAATGGCCATTGTTTGACCGTCCTTGGATTATTCTAATTAATCTCGAAAGACCTAACAAGCATTTGGATTCCTTAGTCCCTCTTCCTTAGAGAAATAAATTAATTAATCCTCTTTTCTTAAAAAAACTTATCACTTGGTTTTTTATATTATAATTCACTTAATAACTTAATCCTTTCATCAATTTTTTTATTATTATATTAGTGATTTTTATTTTCAAATTACTTATTTTTTGTTGAGAAAAAAGAAATAACTAGCGAATGAGAGAAATAAGACAAAAAAAATAATTAGAGAAAAAATATTAATCTAATAAAAAATTGATAAAAAATTAAATTATTGACGGGATTAAAATATAAAAAACTAAATAATTATTTTTTAAGATAAAAAAAATTACTTAATTTGTTTCTAGAAATAAGTGGAACTAATTTATAATTTACTCCAACAATAATTAATGATATAATTATAGTAATAACATACCCAACTATGGAAAGCTCATTGATAGAGACATGCGACTTGTATTTTTGAGAATATTGTTCAAATCCACCTATCACAGATGTAAAAAAATCTCTCCTCCATCCTTTGGGTCACCGGCCAGGCATCCATTGGTTTTTTATAATAATTTTGACCTTTGAAAAAGCAGGAACACATGTCAGTTTTCTATTAGTTTCAATTTTAGAAAAAAATTGATTTAAAGTTCAAGGAAGTTATTAAAATATTTTAAAAAAAAAGAATTTGCCAATTTATTTATATATTTATAGCTAGAATTTTTTATTTACTTTGGAATTGTATTTTACTTTATTTAAAAAATGATTAATTTTCTTTTGTTAATTTTTATTAATTTAAGCAGCATTTGTTATATTTGTTATTAATTTTTTAACCAACTGCTTGTTTATTTACTATATAATTTTTTGTATTTGATTATTTAGTTTATTTTTTGAAAAGCGTTACTTAATTTTTTTTATTTCTTCAGCTAACGATATAATTATGGATTTCTTTATAAAATATACTTAATTTAATTTATGTATTTTTTCATGATTAGTGCTAAATTCACAATGAAATTGTTAATTCTCACCATTTTTTTAGATAATTACCAATACATCACTAATTATAAATAACCATTATATATCAAATATTGATTGATGTTGTATTGGTAATTTTTTAAAACAAGCGATGGAAATAACAATTTCATTGGTGAATTTATCAGCATCTTTTTTTCATAGGCTTGATTTTCCATTTCATGAGTTCGAGAATTTATAATTTTTATTTAAAATGTATTTTTTCCTAACATTTTTCTTTGGATTTTGAAAAAAAAAAAAACAATCCTCCATAATTAACAAAAAAAATTTATTCATTTTATTAATTTTTTTTGTCTTCTTAAAATAAAGTAAAAAAAAAAAATCCAACCTAAATATAAAATTTTTTAAAAATTATCTCTAGCTATAAATAAATAAAAAAAGTTGGCAAAAATCCTTAACATTTTCCTCTGAATTTTTTAATATTCTTTTTGAGCTTTTAATCATATTTTGTCTTTTCTGAAATTGAAACCAATAAAATGCTAGCACGTGTCCCCTTCTTCTTTAAAAGTCGAAATTAATGAAAAATTAAATTGACTATTTACAAACGAAATTCTATAGTCTAATGAACCAAATCATAATGATTTAATTATTTAAATTGAAATTACAAAAATATCTTTGTCAAAAATCAATATCATAAGAACCACTAGAATTATCAAACCAAGAAATGTAATCTACTTTAGGATTCAGGCATTTGGTTTCGATCATTACATGTTGAATCTAAAATAAATCCATTATGTGTCGAGTTATCATGAGTTTGGACGGTTTGATAGTTTTTTTAGTTTTTTTTTTTTCATGATACATCGGGTTGCTTAACTAACTCTATCGGATTAGATTTAACAAAAATTTGGATAATCCAAACTCATTATAAATAATAAAAAAATTAAAGGAAGTTTGATTTAGAGGAATTATTAAGTAATCTACTGCATAAAAATGGAATTCGTAAGTGATTATTGTGGTGATTCCCACTTTGCAATTGACGGAGGGGTAATGCTCTTAAAAGTACTGAATAACTTCAGCCCAAGCAAGGTCGGGGCCTTCGGTTGGACCAAAAAGAAAAGGCTCGTTTCTCATCCTACCTTTCCTTCCCTTGTCAGCCCGTACTTAATGGCTTCTCAGCCCAAGAAAGGTCTGGGCCATAGGTTGGATCAAAAGAAAAGTCTTCTTTCCTTCCCTTGACAGCCAGTACTTAAGGGCTGCTCAGCCCAAGAAAGATCTGGGCCTTTGGGTTGGACCAAAAAGTCTCTCCTTTTTCTGCCTGCACTTAAGGGCAGTTCAGCCCAAAAAAGGTCTGGGCCTTCGGTTGGACCAAAAAGAAAAGTCTCGCCTTTCTTCCTTCCCTTCCCGTCCCTTGTTAAGTCGATGCCGTTTTATTTCTGTACTTGGATTTTGAACTGAGAGCGAGACGGGCAGGAGAGTCTTCTCTGCTTGAATTCACAGTCATGGCTATGGCCTAGGGTTTCCAATTTGTACACAAAAATCCTCAATTAAACCTCGCTATGGCCAAAAACCTTCCTTTTCTTCTTCCATTTCTCCTTTTCCTCGTCAATTCTCAGTTCCCCCTCTCTTTGTCTGGTTAGTTTCTTAACACTTCTCTCAATTTCATCATCATTAGTATTTCTACTTTTTTTTTTTTGTTTTGATTACTGAATTCTAACTTTTTTTTTGTGGGATTTGAGGTTCAGTAAATTCAATGGAGTCAGTACCTGATCTAACAAAGTCAATGTATGTGGATTTTAATGGATACCCTTGTGTTAGATTACTCAATCTTACTGGTGAAATTGGTTGTTCAAGTAAGTAATAGTAATTTATAACTCTCAGAGTTTCAATCTTTGTGCATTCTAATGGGTTTTTTAATTTTGTTTGTTTGTTTATTTTATTTTTAAAAAAATTTGTATTGATTGCTTTGGTGAATTATGTGTAGATCCTGGGCGAGATAAGGTAGTTGCTCCTGTTGTAAGATACAAGAATGTTAATGAAATTAGTAAGCCTTCTGCGGTTTTGGTGTCCTTAGATGAATTTCTAGAACTTTTTGACAGGTATGTAGCTATGTATGTATATATGTGTTTGTTTCCTTTTTGTGACAAGAATTTGACATGGGTTTTACTTTATGTTTTTCGGTTGCGAGGAGGGAAGAAATGAACTATGTGAATGGTTTTTTTTTTTTTTTTTTTTAAATAAAGATGGTAAATTTATATTTTAAGTATATTTTTTTGAATGAATTTTAGATTAGGAAAATATTACTTCTTTTTGAGGTTTTTAGAGATGTGGAGTAAGCTAGCTTAGGTTTAGAATTTAGGAATTTGCGAATACTTACTAAAGCAGCCTTAATTAGAAGGTTCGTTTTCACTCTTGATATATAAAAAGTGTGACAATAACTGGATAGGAGTTATGCTGCGCGCCTTGAAAGTTGTAATGTAGAAAGAAGCACAATTTTTGTTTTGATGCTTACAGAATGGTTCATGGCATTCTGACACCTAAAGTTTCTCCAGTTACATGGTTGGTCTGGGAAAAGTTTGGCTTGTTGTGTCAATTTATGCTGCTGTTATAATATTTTGTCATTTGACTAGGGACTAGGAAAACAGAGAATCTTTGTTGCTGCAAGGCAAAGCAAAGGCAGCAATGTGGAATCATGTAGTTGAGGCTATAAATTTGTTGATATAGTAGAGTTTCTTCAAATTGCTTCTAGCCCTTCATTTGAAGTTTAAAACCCAGTGTGTTGAAATTGTACTCTTCTTTCTAACAGGGGATGGGGATGTGGAGGATGGTTAGTTATACAGCATAATAGAGTAGTTGGTGAAATCAATTCAAGTTGAAAATTTCTTCACACTGAATTGCTGGAATATTATTTTATGCATGTTGCTTTTGGAACATGTTTCTGGGTTTATTATTCAGTGAAAGCAGAATATCTTTGATAATACAATGTCAGATACCTGTTTCTGCTTCAGAATATCAAATGATTCAAGTTATGCCAAGAACATTGGTGGTGTTTTAGTTGAACAAGGGATGGACGACCAAATCAAATTAAAAGGTAAATGTAGGCATCTACTAGTTATCATCCTTTTTCATCTAGCTATTGTGGTGATACTTTACACTTAGATGCTGCTAAATGCTAACAGCAAATGTTTCTCTCTGTCTCAGGATTCTCTCCAGATCAAAAGTTCCCAGAAGCTGAATTTGCGCCTTATAAAAGCATCAACTATAAGTGGAACCCAATTGTATGCTATGTTTCAACCAAAGCTCCTTAAAGTTATAAGTAGTTGGTCTGTGGAAACTATTTCATAATCTTATCTAATGGTCATCAAACAGTATTTCTCACTTGTGAATACTTTTAGACCGATTCTATTCTTGACTGCTGCTTCATTAGCTAAAGCATCATCATTTTGCATATGCAGGGATCTGGTATGATGTGGAGAGCTTATAATTTTCCTGTATTCTTACTCAGTGAGGATGGTACACAGTTGGTGCAGGAGGTAAAACATGTAGTTCCCGGCAAAATATCCCTGTGTTGATTTTTTAGTTCACTAGATTAGTTACTCTGAGTTTTGTTAAGTTTGACTAAAATGATGTTACGATGGACTTGTAATTGTTGCTGATATGGATTATAGTAATTGCCTTAAATTCTTAGATATAGTTGCTTTGCATAATTGGCCAAGACTGATTCTCCATGTCACTAGGTTGCAATTGAGTCTGACAAATTTGATATTTTAGTTGACAGCAATTATTAGTCTGTCAAATTTGATTAATTTTGGCAATTTTGATGTGTGGATCCTTTGGGAATTACTTTTGGGTATGAATGTGAGAATCTTTCAATAAGGAGAATGTACCAAACATGTGCTGTACTATCAAAAACAGAGGGTGACTAAGCAGTCAGCCAACTGTTCAGATTTCATTAACTGAGAAAGACAAATCAATTTCAATTAGTGATTGTGGATTGTACCTGATTAGTTGCAGTGCCATCGACATTATGAATCGTGAAAACATTTTTGCATCTGTAATGAATTACAAATGGTTCCCATTTAACATTACACGTTTTGTATCATTTTTTATGGATTATAAATTGATTGTTTTTTCATGGGGTAGATTTTGGTTTTGATCTAACTTGCCTTTTAATGTGTCACATATTCATGAAGGTTGCCATGAAGAATGAGAAGAAAAAGAATGATTATACAGAAGATGTGGTTGAGTTTGATTCTGTGATGCAGGTACTTGTTCTGCTGCTTCAGTACAGCAAATGCCCTTCCCTTATCCGTTATCTATTAACTGTGTAAAGTGAATATTTGGTTCTGATTTTGTAATTTACTTGTCATTAAATAGACAACAAAATCAGGGACCCATGATTCAGAATCCTGTTTACAAGAACAGACTTGTTTTCCATTAGGTGGATACAGGTATGGTAGTCTTCCATATGTTTCTCTTATGTTGGTGGTGTTTTTGACTTGTAAAACCATATGGTAGTAACCTTTTGTATCAATTTAAGCTTGCAAGTTCATATACCTTTTCTTCATGCAGCACCCACCTATTTGCCTTTATGAACTTTACATGGTGAACAAGTGTTTTTAGTGATAGGAAGGATGGATGGTGTCGCTACCTGATGTTCACGGGATTCCCAAAAATTAATATTTAAGATTTATTTGTTGAAAATTTTGTTTATTTGGAGATACGAGTTATTTATTAATTTTGGAGTCGCCACCTAGTAATAGAGGAACTAGGAACCTAAAATGAAGTTGATTTTGGTTCCTCTCATGAAGGGCAGTGTTTGGTCGTCACTTCCACCAATTAATGATTCATCCTCAAATCAATCCAAGCCAATTTTATTAACTGTGGCATCTATGGATTCTGCTTCATTTTTCCGTGACAAAAGTTTAGGTGCCGAATCCCCTATTTCTGTAAGTTCAAATTCTTTAATGCGCATTCTGTCATTGTGGAATATTTATTTCGTGATAATCCTTTTTCTATCCTAAATTGGTGCTTAATTATTTTGGGAGCATGTTCAGGGACTGATATCATTGCTGGCAGCTGTTGATTCGCTTTCTCATGTAAATGGTCTGGATGACTTTGGTAAACAGGTGTGTGAATTGTTACTTTCTGTGGAATGTAATTTCTGATGATTTGTGCAAGAGCTTTATTGAGGAGTCGATTGTGTTCATTTTACTACTTCAGTTGCTTTTGTTCTCATGTTTTTCTGGCATGAAAATATGATATACTGAAATGTTGTGTTTTGTTTATCACTTACTGGATTTGTTGGCTCAGCACAATATAAACTTACTGAAATTAAGCCTAGGTTATTCGGTAAGGTCTCTGTCTAGGTATCATAGAATCAATGGCTGCTACATCATAATTTGTAATGAAGATACTAACACATATCAGTATATGTTGAAAATGAAAAATTTAAAGAAGTGATTGCTTTTACATTCTATTGGTGAATTATATTATATATGGAACTGATAAATTGTAATACTGTTGGAAGCCTGTCTTATGTTCTGGTGGGTCTTCTTATTACATTTATCGGTTTTGTTTGATTATCCTTTATTTGTTTTTTTCCTGGCTGCTACTACTGCTGCTTTGCCTCCAAGAATGCTGATAGTTTCATAATTATGGTGCAGCTTGTCTTTTCAGTTTTCACAGGGGAGGCGTGGGGTTACCTTGGTAGCAGGAGATTTTTATTTGAACTAGATTTACAATCAGATGCTGTTAATGGGCTTAATAGTAGTCTGATTGAAACGGTATTCTTCTGATCTTCATGAGTATATTCTGAAGCACAATTGCTATCTATCATCTTTTTGGTTCTGTTCTGGTAGATGGTTCCAGATACCTGTTTCCACTGCAATGATAAAAATTAAAACAATTGTTGTTAGAAGATCGTTTGGGTAGTGTGGTGGTAGTTTGGTTACAGATACTTCAGTTTCATGTTAAGTTATTTTATCATGTTTCATCAGCACTTCTCACATTTTAATCTATGCCTTATTAATCCAATAACTTTTGATGTTCAACAGGTCATGGAAATTGGATCTGTTGGAAAAGGCTTCAGTAAAGGGAATAGCACATTTTTTGCTCACACAGCTGGGGTGCGAACTCTTTATCTTGTACCTCTGCAGCTCCTCTTCAATATTTTATTTGAATTACAAAAATTTCTATTTTCAGAGTCATGCAATGAAGATACTAATACATATCAGTATTGAAAAGGAAAATTTTAAAAAGTGATTGATTTCATGTTATATTGGTGAACAATAATGTAGGTGGAACTTGTGAATTATATATTGGTGGAACCCTATCTAATATTCCAGCATGTTTTCTTATTACATTTGTCTGTTTTGTTAGATTATCTTCCTTTTGTTTTAAGTGGCTTGTTCCACAGCAGCTTTGCCTTTCAGAATGCCGATTGAATTGTTATTGTGGTGTCACTTGTCTTTTCAGTTTGGATTCCACTCATTCTATGCATTTGTCCTTCAGAACTCGGAGCCAAATTCAAATAATTACAATTTTTATTTTAGTCGTTGAGCTTCAATGCTGATGTTACATCATCATTGATTCATCATATGAGAAAATAAGTAATGTGCTGGTTTATTTTCTTAAAGAGAAAAGATTTTTGGCTCAAAAAGGAGGGCACAGATCATAAAACAAATGGATTGGGGCCATGATTCTGTGGGGCCCACAAACCAATGGAAGTGATTTGTTAGTGTTGATATTTGTGCCGTCCTTTTCATGCTGTATGCCACTATTCTTTCTTAAAGCCCTGCCAATTTAGTATGTTCATTTATTATTTTTGTTCAACAATAGTATGTTTTCCTTGTTCTATCTTGTCTAGGATTTTAGAGATGCTTGATTGTGATGTTTCAGAACATGAATTCCGTTGAAGCTTGTGTGTGTGTGTCTGTTCTCTTGTGCGATCTCTCAAATTGATTCTAGCCAGCTAGCCTAAATTGCTCATCCAGTATTTATCATTGCAGGTTTCATCAGCCACCAGTGAAACATTGAATGCCTTAAAACGTGCTCGAGATTCACTTGAATCCAAGAACATTATGGTTTCATCAGCAAGCACTTCAAATCCTGGAATACCCCCATCATCCTTGATGGCATTTCTTAAAAAGGTTTTAAGCAGTAAACTTGACATCATTAGATGTCTATTATCATCCTCTGTTTATCCTCTTTTTTTTTTTTTTTTTTCGGAAAATCTGTTTATTCTTTCCTTATTTGCATGAATTGTGCACAGAACTGTATTAAGACTTTGTTATATCCACTCCTTTCATTTTGTTGTTAATAGTTTGCTAGAATGTTTTGTTGCTTTCACTTTTAACTTGTACTTGTTTAACTGGTGTTACTTGTTGGGCATGTTCCATATTTGGGATTGTGTGTCTTGTTTGAGATCTTCTAGTCCATGTAATTTGTTGGCTTTGGGGTAGGAATACATATGCTAGCCTGGACCACTAATTTCTTTTCTTGCCCATGCACTCACTCATTCATGTTTTATAATAATGAAAGCACTGCTGCATTGTTTTTTAAAAACAGCCATGTTTGAACACAGAAAATCTTTCTGATGAAAGATCTTACAACTGATTTGATGGTGCCTCTAACAGTTGCTTACATCGATTATTGCTGTCTTGCTCTGTTGCCTCAGTGCATAGAACATGGATTTTCTTGTTCTCGCTAGAATAACAAAACAACGTGCTTGATAGTTTAAGAAGAAATAATTTGTCATTGAAGTGGAGTGTAATTATGGTTTGATTTTCTCTTTGCAGAACCCATCGACTTCTGGGATGGTATTGGAAGATTTTGATACTGCTTTCGCTGATAGGTTCTACCACAGTCACCTGGATGATATGTGTGGGTTGATTTACTTCCTTCATTTCTTGCACCCCCAACAACAACCCCCCCCCCCCCCTCCCCAACGCCAAAAAAAAAAAAAGAAAAAAGAAAAAAGAAGAGATTGATCCTAAACGATTTATAATAACATATCTGGTTGATATCTCCTTTGTTTTTAAAGAAATAAAAATTTTGGGTGGTTTACTGTTTTATATCTTGAATGCAGCAAGTATAAATTCTTCAGCCATAGTGGCAGCTGCTTCTCTTGTTGCCCGCACACTTTATATCCTTGCAAGTGACGACAAAAATTTAAGCAGCACAGCTCTTGATGCCATCAATGTCAACGCCTCTCTAGTTGAAGAACTGATGGGTTGCCTATTGGACTGCGAACCAGGATTGTCTTGTGAGTTGGTGAAAAGTTATATAGTACCCACCAGTCAATGCCCAAGCCATTATGTTGGAGTTATCCTTGGGGAACCTTCATCGAATCCATATCTTGGATATGTTGATGATGTTTCCAGGTTTATATGGAATTTTCTAGCTGATAGAACTTCTAGTTCGATGGAGAACGTGAGCTCTGATTGTTCAAAAGATTGCAGCAACAAAGGTGGTGTGTGCATTAAGGCAGAGACGGATGGGAAGGGAGTCTGCGCTATTTCCACAACCAGGTAACTTACTGGTTAGAAGCTGCTAGTTTAGAGTAGTAATCAAGGGCAGACTAAGCATGCTGATAAGATTAAGTACAAGATGGCATTGGGCAGCATTGAGTGCTTAACCTTTTCTCTGTGTACATATGGGCTATTACCTTGCTCCAATGGACTCAATATTTTGAAATTTCCAATGGCTAGCTCGACCACCATATCCAATGCATGAAAGTACGAACCTACCTTACTGCAAAAGGATCAGTAAAGGACTAATAGATTGCCTATTCTGCTGCTGCGTGCATAAGAGTGAACGCTGTATGTGCTGATATAAATGCTATGGAAAATAACTATACCTTGCATGAAAATCAACTTAGGTACCATGCAGATTTCTAGTTTCCCTTGCTATCGCATAATATGCTGTATTACATCTGCATGCTTTACTGCTTCCATACACAGGATATCAGCATGTCTTGCCTGAGCTAATTTTTTTTTACCAACATGATAATGAAAGAATGACTTGCTTTGTGGTTTGATATTCAGCAATTAATAATTTCAATTGCTTTTCTGATCTTTTGTTTCTAAGGGGTGTTGATCGTTACAGGTATGTACCAGCGTATTCAACACGATTGAACTATGAATCTGGAACTTGGAATGTGTTGCCATCAGATTCATCTGATCCCATGGGGATGGTGGATCCTATCTGGACAGAGAGCAACTGGGACACGATCGGGCTTCGGGTCTACACTGTGCAGGATCCAACTTTTGATCGTCTAGTTTTGCTGGCAGGTATTGCCATCACAGTCATGGCTTACCTTGCAATTGTGCTTACAAGAGCCTATATAGCGAAGGTCTTGAAGCGGGATTGAGTGATAATCCTAGTTTTGGTTAATTTTTCAAATACACTGCATAGAAATGGTAGGATCAGAGCTAAAAACAAATGATTCTATTACGATCCATTTACTAGGTTATTTTTGGATGCTGCATTATTTGAGTCACAACCTCAATCATACAGGGAACTCTTGTTATCGAATTCGAGCTTGACGAATAGGGAGTCTTCAGTCAATATTTTCAAGACGCTACTTTCTTTTGTAGTCGTATAGTTTTCCAGTTATGCTATAAGCTAATCAAGTAGTTTATGCATTTGAATTCGATCATCACAAGAGTTAAATTACAGCCCCCTTTTGGAGCAAACTCTTTTTTTGATGCCTTTTCTAATTGACCGTCCATCTAAATCTTTTCTTTTTCAACTATTCAAACAACTGAGCATCGGTTTCTTTGGAGACTCAGATAATTTTACTCTCCAACATCTCTCTATTCTGGTCTTTTTGCTGAGTTCATCCTCAACAAAATGCCAAACAGCTGCAAGCCTATGTGAGAAGCTTATTTAGATTCTCTTTGTTCATCTTACATTAGATTAATCAATTACAAGACAAAGACAATAAAGAGCTCTATTACTTGAATCTTTGGTAAATTTTTCTTTATCATACAAATAATACTAAAGCTGCTGCTTTTTTAAGCAAAATGCTTCGACTTTTTTTTTTTCTATTTTTTTATTCTTTTTATTTACGTCTAACAAAGTACATGAAATAATTATATATATTCTAACCACGAATGGGTAGCTTCTTAGTAAACAAGTGTCGATTTGTAAATCATATTTCAAGATTTGATCCTTATAGTTAGTATTTTTGAGAATTTATTCTCTGAATATTCGAGATTGTGTGTTGAGGATTGCTTTTTAGTTATTTTAAAAAAGAGATAGTTTTAAAATACACCACGAAATGAGTCTTGAAAATATACTAAAATTGATCTGAAAACACTTTTATTGCTGGAAGAAAAAAAAAATTCAAATTCTTAATCTTATTTAAAATTTAGAAAAACAATGGAAATAGTACATGTTATGCAATAAATATCCAGTTGAATTGAATTGCACGAAGAAAGTAATATATCATGTCAAAATTGATGCAATTTAAATGATTCAAGAAAGTAAAAAATAATAACAGATCGAAAAAATCTAATATATTTATTTTGTTCATCCAAAATAAGCAAATCATTTTAATTTCATATGCAAAATTAAGTAAATTTAAATAAATAATCTACATCTCGATTGATACATAATCATGTGAATCGAATCGAAATAACAACGAGAGAACAAATTCACTTACCATCCGAACCGACCAACAATTACGTAATAAAAAATCAAGTATGATCCAACTTCGTTGGGCCAATCCCAACCGCAATATATCCGGGTGGGTCAAAACATCCGCCACGTAAACGCCTCTTCATTAACCATTGCAAACACCGAACACACGCCTTCTCCATCTTCTTCTCCTTCCTCTCCTTTCTTCCTTGTCGCCAGTTTTCTTTCAGTAACGCCTGTGATCTCAAACCCTTGATACCGAAAAATAAAACACAAACACAGAAATGGGGTTAGGCTTATTAGCTTCAAGGCTCATAAGACCCCAAAAAACGGCAGCCCGAACCCTTCTTCTTCGCTCCATCGTGACTAAACCGGAGCTTCAATCACCTGAGCCCGCAACCGCCCCACAACCCGACCCAACACCTGATCTTCCACCAAGAACACCATTAGCTGGGGCCCGAGTTCACTTTCCTAACCCGGAAGATGCAATCGAAGTGTTTGTTGATGGGTATCCAGTGAAAATCCCAAAAGGGATGACAGTGTTACAAGCTTGTGAAGTTGCTGGAGTTGATATTCCGAGGTTTTGTTATCATAGTCGGTTGTCGATCGCTGGGAACTGTCGTATGTGTCTTGTTGAGGTGGAGAAGAGTCCTAAGCCTGTTGCTTCTTGCGCTATGCCTGCTCTTCCTGGTTAGGGTTTTTGACTTTTTTTGATCTGTGTTTTTGGTTTGGACAGTGAATTTGGTCGAAATGAGTGTCATTTGTTTTGATTATCGAGTAAAGAATGATATTTGTGGTTAGGATTTTGCCTTTTTGTGATTTTGGTTTTTTTAGAAGTGATTAATTTTCCAATTTTCTCTATTTCTCTATAGGTAGAAACGAATGATAATTTATGACTGTGATATGTCTAATTTTGATAGTTTAAGTAGAATTTGGGATTTCTGGTTTCTTTGCATTTTTTTTTCTGTAATTTTGATGATTTTATGTAGAAATTGGAATTTTGAATTTTTTTTTTTATGTGGACATTTGGGCTTTTGATTTAGATGGTGAATTTGGTGGAAATGAGTGTAGTTTGTGTGGATGCTGAGTAAAGAATGGGAAGGGCTTTTTTTTATTTTATTAGTTGTTAATTTTGTAACGCGTGTTTTTAGCTTTTTATGATTTCTTTAGGGTTTGGGTTTTTAATTTAGTTTTTTGGTGTTTAATTTGGTTAAAATGAGTGTAATTTGTTTGATTATTGATTGAAAAACTAATTTTTTTTTTTTTTATAACTAATGGTTTAAGCTTTTGGCTTTCTGTGGTTTGGGTCTTAGTTCTCAAGTTTTCTCTAATGGTACAAATGGAACGTAATTGGTGTTCATATGGTTTATTTGGGTTGTCAATTTGGATCTGGATTCTGTTTACCAACAAAAAAGCGGGGTTTAATTTATGATATAATGTGTTATCTTTGGAAATGGGAATTTTATGGCTCATTTAATTAAAAACTTGTATGGTTTTTAGATGAAGATTGGAACTTTATGGTTAATTTGGCACCTGTTTGCTAATTTGGTATGGTAAATTTGGGTTTTTGATACCTTAAATATGAATTCCCATAAAATGGGAATTCTATGGCTAATTCCAATGCAAACAGTGCTACATTATGATATGCTTTAATTGTATGATGTATTGAACATTCTATTCTCTATGGTTTTTGTTTTCTCCCATGGAAGTCTCGATGGATTATTTGGTTTTAGTTAATAGTTCTTAAAGTTACTGTTTTTCTCGTTGCTTATTTATCTAGAGGTTCGTTAAGATATGTATTATTTCAGCTCAGTTTTGTTTGGTTAACCTTTTCAAGTTTGTAGATGACCTCTTCTGATTCTTTTCTTGTTTTCTGGTTTTATGACTCAAGAGAATATTTGGTTATAGGTTCTTGCCATGTCTTCAGTAGAACATTTTGGTTTTAGGTTCTTGTCCATATTTCTGATTTATTTGCTACTTTAAACAAAAAGATTAATCATTTATATATATGATTTATCTTGGGTTTGATTTTATGGCATGTATTGTATTTGCAAATTTTGATTTGCTTATATAATCATAAGAAATGTTGGTTTTATGTTGCAAGCTCTCCTTATGAATTTGCATGTTTCCTTTGTTTTTCCCTTTTTTTTTAAATAATTTGTGCTTAGGATCCTAGATGGCTTAGGGTTCGTAATTTGTTGGTTGAGGTTTCAGGATTGCATTGTTTAAGAATATTCATCCTCTTTTCGTGTTTGTTTTATTTCTTCATTATGTTTTATTTACCAGAAGATTTATGTTGTAGGAATGAAGATTAAGACAGACACACCTGTGGCTAAGAAAGCACGAGAAGGGGTTATGGAATTTTTGTTGATGAATCACCCATTGGATTGTCCAATTTGTGATCAAGGAGGAGAGTGTGATCTTCAGGATCAGTCTATGGCATTTGGATCTGATCGTGGCCGCTTTACTGAAGTGAAGCGATCAGTTGTTGATAAGAATCTTGGTCCTTTGGTTAAGACTGTGATGACTCGTTGCATTCAGTGCACAAGGTTTGATTCAGAAACCGTTTATCTAATGTTATCAGTTATGTGAACATGATTATTTCAAATTATTCTCTTTTATGATTAACTGGTTGGAAGCCAAGAAGTTTTGTTGTTTTTCCTTTTTAACCGACTTGTTTTGTCTTGGATGATCTTTCATGTGCTTATCTTGTTAGTTTATTTAGCATTTGATATGTTGGCTAATTAGGCATTAGAAATCCATTGATATATATATACCACTCTGGTGATGGAATGCAATCAAGTTAGTTCTGTGCTGTGGGGTATTGTGTAAAAATGAATCCTTAATGTAATTGCATATGATGCAGCATTGGTTATTTCTAAAGTTGCAGTTGATTTTGGGGTGTAATTTGCCATCAACTTTTTCTTGTTTTCTGTTAGCATTTATACAGCTTGGCAGTAGTTTTGTGCACACTGTACTATCTTCTGATGCAAACTCGTTTATTCTTTTGTGGTCCTACAGGTGTGTGAGGTTTGCCACAGAAGTTGCTGGGGTTCAGGATCTTGGCATGTTAGGTCGTGGTAGTGGAGAAGAAATTGGAACTTATGTTGAAAAGCTTATGACAAGTGAACTATCTGGAAATGTGATAGATATCTGTCCTGTGGGAGCCCTTACCTCAAAGCCGTTTGCATTTAAAGCTCGAAATTGGGAGTTGAAAGGTACAGAGACCATTGATGTCACTGATGCAGTTGGATCCAATATCCGGATCGATAGCAGAGGTCCAGAGGTCATGCGCATCACTCCACGGTTAAATGAGGTAGATTCTTTACACTGCAGCACCTTATTTTCATTATTTTTCAGATAGTTTATTGGTCGGGCTAACCAAAGCATCAAATTGCATCCTTCTAAAAGCAACTTTGTGTTGTGCTTTGAAGGGGTCAGAATTTTCTGTCATGAGGAAATAAGGCTATTGTTTCATATTTGGCAATTAGGTTTACTAAGTGGTATTCAATTGTGTCTATCTGCTGGTGTTTCTAGGGTGTTGTGAGTTTAATAAATGTTGAACCATATAATATACACCTATTTACCAGTAGATTCTTCTCTTGAGGGGGAATAAATATATCAATGGCTTAAGGTAGCATTCTAGAAGTAGGCTGTTGCATTTATTGTGTTTTAATGTTATGCAATATAAGTTAATGTTTAGTGATTTGAGACTTGCCATTTCAGTTCTTGAAGGACTATCATGTCCACTTAACTTGTTTCTTTCAACAGATGGATTTAGGGTCTTATTGCATTGGTTTCAGTAAAGAGAATGGCTTTGGAGGCAATCAAGCTGAATAATTCTGGCTCTTTTGTTGCCTATCGTTAGCTTGTGTATTTTACGTATTTTAATTATGGGGAAAAGTACTTCTCTTTATTTTTATATCCTACTATGATTATAATAGATTAAAAAGGTGAAAGAAAGGAAAAAAGAAAAAGATCAATACTGTCTGGTTTTATGTTATGGTTTTAAGTGTTTTTGGTGTACAAGACTACAAGGGTGCCTGTTCATGATTTTGAAGTGGCCTATTTCAGGATATAAATGAAGAATGGATATCAGACAAGACTCGGTTTTGCTATGATGGTTTAAAGAGGCAGAGGCTAAACGATCCTATGATTCGCAGCTCAGATGGGCGCTTTAAGATTGTGAGCTGGCATGATGTCTTAGCTGTGGTAGCTGAGATTGCCCTTCAAGTTAAACCAGAGGAAATTGTGGGCATTGCTGGTAAACTATCTGATGCTGAATCCATGATGGCACTGAAAGATTTCATAAACAAAATGGGGTCAAATAACGTGTGGTGTGAAGGAAATGGCCCTAGCCCAAATGCTGATCTACGATCTGGATATATTATGAACAGTGGCATTAGTGGTCTTGAGAATGCAGATGTTTTCCTCTTGGTTGGCACTGAGGTAATTCAATTAACATTTTTAATCTGTTTAGGATGGAATGCTTGGATTATAGCTGTCATGTCCTTCACTTTCTGCTATTTCTTCGCATATGAACTTGTCTGTTGTTTTTATGATGTCTTGAATTTGTTCTTTGCATTTATGTTTTGTACACCCTTTTGCACCTTTTCCTTGCCACTTTGCCTCATATTTTGTCTTATGAAATGTCAGCCAAGGGTAGAAGCTGCCATGGTAAATGCGAGAATCCGCAAGACAGTCCGAGGAAGTAATGCTAAGGTTGCTTACATTGGGCCTCCTGCAGATTTCAACTATGATTGTGAGCATCTAGGCACTGGTCCTGAAACTCTTACTGAAATCGCAGAGGGTCGTCACCCATTTTGCTCTACAATCTCAAATGCCAAAAACCCAGCCATCATTGTTGGTGCTGGACTCTTTGAGAGATCTGACAAGGATGCAGTTTTCTCTGCTGTTGAAACCATAGCAAAAAATGGGAATGTTGTGCGACCTGACTGGAATGGTTTCAATGTGTTGCTTCTCAATGCTGCCCAAGCTGCAGCCCTTGACCTTGGACTTGTGCCAGAATCTAGCCAAAGTATTGAGAGTGCCAAGTTTGTGTATCTAATGGGTGCTGATGATGTAGATTTGGAAAAACTTCCAAATGATGCTTTTGTCGTTTATCAGGGACACCATGGGGACCGTGGTGTATACCGTGCCAATGTAATTCTCCCAGCATCAGCATTCAGTGAGAAGGAAGGGACATATGAAAACACAGAAGGGTGCACCCAACAGACTTTGCCTGCAGTTCCAACAGTTGGTGATGCCAGAGATGATTGGAAGATAATTCGTGCTCTTTCTGAGGTAGCAGGGGTGCGGTTGCCCTACGATACAGTTGGGGCTGTCCGATCCCGGATTAAGACTGTTGCACCAAACCTCTTGAGCGTGGATGAGAGAGAGCCAGCTACGTTTTGGGCTTCATTGAAGCCCGAGGTCACTCAGAAGATGAGTTCAGCTCCTTTCGATCCTGCTATAAAGAATTTCTATATGACTGATTCTATCACCAGGGCATCAAAGATAATGGCTCAATGCAGTGCACTGCTGCTAAAGAAGTGAGTTCTGGATTTTTGATCTTTCAAATAAACTTGCAAATTCACTTTTCTTTGTATCTCTTCATTCAAACCGTGTAAGGCCTTGTTTGGCAAAGGGCCAAGCTTCTGGAACATTGGAAGTACACCCAATAAGATTACTTATATAGATTCTGTTTATTTCACTGTAACCTGTCTTATGTAATATCATTTTCCTCTTAACCTTTGTGTGTAAGACAAGGGACTTCCCAGTTTGTTTTGCCCAGTTTTTAGAAAATGTTCCAGTTTGCAGCAGCATCTGCCTTGTTCACCAATTCTATTTAATAAAAAGACTTACCTGAGTAAAAATATCTTTTCAGCTAGTCTTTATTATATATATATATATTACTCACACATTCAAGACTCATGGCAAAACTAGTTTATTAAAATTTGAACTCATGATTTTTTATTACAAGAGATCACTACTACTGGACTATGAGCTTTTTGGTTTAGCTTGTCTTTATTCAGTGGACCGGAACAAAATGTTAGTTGTCTCTCCTCGTTCCCATATAAACTCAATAATAGGTAGATTTTGTTTCTTTTCACTCTAGTTGAAAGCCATATTCATTGAGCTTCCTTTTAGTAGTTCTAAGAAGCCCTGAAAGGTTTTTTTTTTTTTTTTTTTTTTCGAGTTCTTGGTATGTTGACAGGCCATGTGCTGGAAATACTGCTAGAAATGCAGAAAACGCTGTCATGGTATCCAAAAATTTCATATATATGATAGCCTTTTTAACATTGAAGAGGATGTGTATTGTATTGTCTTCGGCCATTATAGGCCAAGTCCAAAATGATATTATTTATAGACTCGAAAGTCATAAAAAATTCCTAGCAAGCTTCCATTGAGTAAATTATAAATTAGTCCCTGTAGTTCGAGAAACGAATCGATTACTCTATTAGTTAAAACTGTATTGTAACTTCATCCTTTTCTCGCCACTTTTTAATTTATTTTAAAAAATAAAAAAAGAAAAATAAGTTAAAAATATAGAAGGATTAAGAAAAAAATATGATATTTTTTTAAAAATAAAATTATATCAAATAAAGTAGCATGTCACTTGCATCAAACTGCTCCTAAAAAATGAAGGTCAAGCGAAGAACCTCAAGACACTATCTTTGATGAAGATTACATCAAAGGGCCAAAAAAAAAAAAAAAAAAATTGAGATACAAGATAAAGAAGTCAAGGACGAGAAAAAAGCTCTAATTTATATATAGACCACGCAAGACTCAGATCACGAGGCACTCTCGAATCTGCCATGCGTTAACACTTGTTTCTGAAGCAAGAGAAAAGGGTCCCACTTTCGAAATTTGAACGGTCACCAATAGACATCACCCTGGCATTTTTTCACACTCCAAACGGTGAACTTTCCTAAAACAAGACAGCCCAACGACAAACAAGCCAATGAGTATGCTCTAATGATACGTCAATCAAATCACCACTATTTATGTTAAACATTAATGCATCACATATCAAATATAATGATAATAAAACATCAGTATTTAACGGCTCACGCATAAACATGAAAGTAATATTTTTACCCTTCTCATTGAATAAGTTACACTCATGATTATCTATATTACCTAATATATTAAGGTAAGACATCTACACACTATAGCTGTATTATTTGAAATACTGTACATACACTCATATTTCACTCTCTCATAATTTAATATTACTTTCACTATTTATAATTTTTTTTATACTTTAGTTCATAATATTTTGAATTCATATTTCGATCCACATATTTATTTGCTCATCCATTTTGATTCCCGAATGGAGAGAAAAGGTCGAGAGGAAGAGAGAGAGAGATTGCCTAGGTTAAGCTCATTTAGGCTACTTTGGCCGGCAAAAATTTACTAGATTTTTTAATCTTTGAGAGATGAGTTTGTCCATGGTGGTTTCAAGCCATTAAACAATTAAAGGAGATAGATCGGACAAAAAAAAAAAATCAGATTTGATTTTGTATTTTTTTTTGTTTTTTGTGTGTATTAAAATATTTTTTTAAGGTTTTACATGTTTTTATTGATTTTATTCCAATCATTTAGAGGTGTTTGGGAAACAAATGATTTCGAAATTCAATTTCTAAGAATCCGAAAGTTGACCTCTTATTTTTCGACGAACTTCGACGACCTCGGGTTCGTCGAAGTTGCGAGTTTTTTTTTTTTTTCCTTGTTGGTAGGCACGGCATAGGCCAATGCTTGACCTCTCCACCTTTTTTTTTTTTTTAATATAAATCTACGAGTCTTATTGCACAAGCCAACCAGTCGCCTGTCCTTGCAGCCCCCCCCCCCAACAAAAACACCCACCCACCCTATATTGTTTAATTTTTTTTTCAATTCTTTATTTCTTATTAAAATTCATGTGAAATTAATTTTTTTATATGATTTTATTTGTTAATAAAATTAATTTTTTCATACATGAATTTTGAATTAAAATTTTAGAACGTCGGCGTTTTATTTTTTAAAATATATTATTATAATTCATATAATAAATTATGTGTGTATGTGTGTGTGCCTTTTTTTCTTTATATATATTTTCTATACAATTGTTTTTTAAAATTTTAAACTTTAATTGTATTGTGATTTAGCTCATTTTTTTAAATTTTTTTAATTATTTTTGTTATTTAATATCGATAATTTTAATTTGTCATTTTTTTTCAAATTCTCATCTAATTAATTTAAAATTACATTTAATGATAAGTTTCATTTATTTTAATATTATTCATTCTTTTCTCATCCAATTAATTTAAAATTATATATATATATATTTTTTTTTAATTTCAAAATTTAATTATATTATGGTTTGATCCCATTTTGTTTTACTATTTTTTATTAAATAGTTTTATTATTTAAAATTTACTACTTTAATTTGTCATTTTTTAAAAATTCTCATCCATTGGATTTCAAATTACATTAAAAATTTTAAAATATTTTTTTCGACTTTGATTTTATATATTTTTATACATTTACATAATAAAGCGTACTATCAAATTAAAATAATTTTTTCAGATGATTTTATATATTTTATTCTATCCGCGACGATAGCGCGGATAAAAAATCTATTACGGACCTAAACTACTACAAAGAAAGGAGTTCCAATTTCTCATTCAGAAATAATTCCAAAATAGGTTTTATATCTTTCATAATTTCCTCTCATCTGCAAATTACCCACAAACAGAAGCAGTTAAATACTTAAGTTCTTTAAAAAACACTTTGAAGTTAATTTATCACTTTTCAACCACTAATTTAATCATGGAAGAATTTCTTATCCAATTAGAGAATTTGTTTTATAAGAATACATACAAAGCAAAAAAACTTTTACTATTCTTAGTGATCATCCAACCATCATCATCGCCTGCGTGAGCCACGCTTCTCAGTTTTACCATGATGACTCGTTAGCGTGACTATCATAAAAATAGAGATAAGTCTTTCTTAAAATAAATTTGAAACACATGGAAACAAAATGAAGAACATTAATTATTTTTTAAGTTTTTTTTTTTTTGGTTTTTTAGACTTAAGAATAATTCATGTTCCCGTAGGTATTTTATTTTAAAAATACCGGATCTGTTGGGCAATGAAGCTTAACTCTAGTCAAGTGATTATTAAGTAATTTCTTGAGACTTATTAATTTATTTGAATAAACTACATGAATTAATTTATAATTATTTCTATTTTAATCATCTTGTCAGATGATTGACCTGTTACAACTTATAAGGTTGCCAATTTACTAAACGATCGAGCCATTAATTACATTTTCGTCAATTACTTGATGAGTAAATTGCAATTTATCTCTAGAAATTTCCTATTTTTGTCAATTTGCACCTAAATTTTTCATTTTTTTAATTAGGCCCCTAACAAGACAAAACTGAGTTAATTTATGAATCTTAATGATAGTTAATGGATCAATCCTTAAGCTGACTCAATTTTAAATTAGGTGAATTGTTAAAAACAAGTCATTAAAATCATACTTGTGGCTAATTGACAGATGAAATAGGGTTGACATACATATGCTTTTGTAACATAGCTGCCAATTAATTGGAAGAGAAAATATGTGTCGATACATATGTCAATTCATTGCCAATTATAGGTCATACCTTAAATGAGGAATTAAAATTAATCCTTACGTTACCTCAATGATTTGATTAAACAGACCAACTAAAATATCCTATTACATATTTTATTTGTATGTATAGTGACAAAGTGCTGGTGCTGAAATTAAAAAATTAACTCCAATTTTTTGGTTAACCTTCTTAAATATTGCTAACGATCGAGATCTTGGCCCTACAATGAAAATTCAGGGTTAAGATTGGATCTCAAATTTAAATAACAGGTTCAAATTGTTGAAGATATAAATTCAAAATTTTAGCATTTACAAAAGAGCTTAACATTTTGGTTCAGGCATTCTTTTTTATTCTAACCATATATCCCTATCTTCCATGAGATATAGGGTAAATCATATTTGAAGCAAGAACGATAAAATTTAATCCTTCTTAATAAATATAATTTTAAGATTTGAATTCTATACGTTAACAAAAAAATTCATTTAGAAAATCAATTTGCTTGTCACCGAAACTAATAACTTGTTAATGGTTTAGGTATTTTTTATAATTATGGGTTCCTGCCCATTATTACTACTAATAATATTTCTCGACTTATCAATAAAGAAAGAAAAAATACAACAAGGCAGCTTCATCAATTTCAATAGTTTTTTTTTTTTTTGGCATTGTGTGCAGCACGATGTCAACCTTTCTCTTGTGTTGCTTTAAAATATTGGCTTTCGGGGAATGATGGAAAAAATAAAAAAAGTGATACATCATAACAACTTGAGAAAAATGAATTCTATATGGACCTTGAGTATATCTTGATAGTTGACTGTACGCTGGTTAGATCTATCACCGTTAGATCTGATTCCCATGGAGTAACATTGCTCATTTTGTTTTTGACTACAAATAAGGGGAACTGAAAGACAAGGAAGTAAACTACCTGCAACATGGCAACTTCAAGCTCCAACATTAATTTGTGTTTCTTGATGTTGTGTGTAAGCCTTCTTATAACAACAACCTGTCATGGTTACTCTGATCATGCTGCTTTGTTTATCTTTGGTGATTCATTGTATGATGCTGGAAACAATAACTACTTCAATAATACTATTATCAGAGCAAATTTCACCCCATATGGGGAAACCTTCTTTAAGTATCCTACTGGAAGGGCTTCTGATGGTAGATTAATTCCAGATTTTATTGGTAAGTTGATGAGTTTGGAGATTGATCTATGTTTATACGTACGTGCTTCTGTTTTCTCAAATGAATAATGGAAAATGCATTTTCTTGCAAATGGTTTTGCAGCTGAATATGCAAATCTACCATTGATTCCACCATATCTACAACCCGGTAATAATCGATTTATAGATGGAGCCAACTTTGCATCGATTGGCGCTGGTGCTCTTGTTGAAACTAATGGAGGATTGGTTAGTCATCTTATTGCTTACCCTTTTCTTTCTTATCCTCCACAAAGCTTACTAATATGTGATTTTTTTTTTTTTTTTTTTTGAAAGGTGATAGACCTTCAAACTCAACTGAGTTATTTCATGAATATGGAGAAACAACTAAAGCAGCAACTTGGTGATACAGAAGCTAAGAAAGTGTTATCCAAAGCTGTTTACATTTTCAGCATTGGAGGCAATGACTACTTTGCAGCTTTAGCCCCAAATTCTACTATTCTTCAGTTACACTCAAGAAAAGAGTACGTGGGGATGGTTATAGGCAATATAACAACGGTGATCAAAGTAATCTAAATGCGAATAAAATTTTAATTCTTGGTTCCTTAAGTTCTTTCTAATTTCCATGTTGATCGTAGACCATGGTTGCACTTCGATGTTTCAGGGAATACATAAGAGAGGAGGGAGGAAATTCGGATTTTCAAAGATGATTAATTTGGGTTGTTTACCATCCTTGAGGGCAGTTAAAATGGCTAACACAGGTAGATCAGGTTGCATGGATGAAGCTACATTGTTGACAAAACTACACAATAGAGCACTCTCTAAAACGCTCAAAGAACTTGAGAGACAGCTAGAAGGATTTAAATACTCTAATTTTGATGCCTAGGCAATCTACTAACGAAGATAATATATATATATATATATATATTTTTTTTGGATAATTAAAATTCTGAATCCTGATTTCTTTTCAGTTGATCGCTAGAAATGTGAAGTATTTTTCAACGATATGAATAATACCATTATACCCTCCATTTTGGTTTCCATTTTTAAAATATTGCTAACAAGAGATTGACCCTACAATGAAAACTATAAAAATATTATTTAGTATTTAAAATATTACAACTCTTTACATATAAAATTAGAAAATCATTTCAATGCCACTGGATATGAAAACGAAATAAAATAAAAGAAAATTCTAATTAAAACAATTACTAATTATCTAATAAAACACTTAAAGAATTAAATAAACAGAAAAAATGATAAAAAATCATAACAATTAATTAAAGATTATATAAAAAAATTAATTATTGCAAAAATTGTGGGATTTGTATCCCAAGTCAAGATAGGGTGTTAATGCAGTATCAAATAACAACGATTTTTGGCTAAGTCGTTCTTTAATATTATGGTATATATTTAAAGTTCTTAGCTATTTTTCTTCAACTTATATGGTCTTGACACATGAAGAATCATTTAACCTAGGTCCGTTGTCAGTGTTGAGTGTTATTGAACTTTTTCAATGTTAAAAGCTAACTCAAAGAGTGAGACTTTTCTTTATACTTATTATCAAACACTGAATCTCTTTTACAACTGAAGTGAAATAACACAACATTTAATAACAAATTTAAATTACCTTCAAGGGCTGTGCTCTAAATAGCGATAAAAAATTATTTTAATTTGGGCAAAGTTATTAAGGAATAATTAGTTATAATTATTGTTTTGTAATAGTAAGATTGGACTAGTTTGGTTTAAAAAAATAGCTTAGTGGGCAACCAAAAGTTTACTGTATTCTAGTCTGCTTTAATTTAGAGAATAATGGATTTAGTCTGAATTTATGCAAAATTAACTTGAAAATATCTCACTGCCTATACATAGAGAGAGAGAGAGGCAGTGAAGTTGCCATGTTTCAAGTAGTTTACTTTCTTCTATTTCAACTCTCAGTTTGCTAACTTAATGTGGAGTGGAAGTACTCATTATGTGAGTCCATACAATCTCAAAACTTTATTCGAGGAATGTCCTCAAAATGTTACATTACTCTTTCCAAAATCTATCGGATGTTCCTAATCAATAATTTTATGGATATATATTGAGTTACTGATCAGGGAATTATCTTCCTTTGTAGATTTTTTTCTTTTTCTTTTTTCTTTTATTCATTGAAGATCCATTGTTTTTTGGGCTGCACGGTAGAAGGTAGTTCTCTCACATTATATATATATATATATATATATATATATTAGACCTCAAAACTTACTTTACTAGAAAAATTAATTAAATATACAACCGTTAATTTAAACATCCATGTTTAGAAAAGCAACCACACTCTGCCAACCCCCTAAAAAAAAAACTAATAAAGTAAGGTGTTCTTTCTTTCTTTTTTGACAAATTAAAATCCTGATATTTTAAAAATTCTTTTACATTGATCTCTTGAGATGTGACGTATTTTTCAATGTATTTCCCGATATTTTAGTAATTTTAACGTTTAATTATGTGAAAAAAAAACTATTTTAATTAAGATTTTTGTTAAAGATGATTAACGAATTCCTTCCATTGACTAAAATTTAAAATGTTAGATAAATATTGAAAAAAAAATATGTGGCTAGTTTAGGAATTTGCAATTTGCAAATTTTGAAGGATAAATTGAAATCAAACCCTACTTAAATAATCAATACGTTCAACTTGTGCACACATTAAAAATATTTCCGGTTCATCTAACAACGACGAAGCAACCCTTAATAATTTAATTAAGTTGACCGCTGAACGATATAAAATATATCATTATATACTTTTTTTTATGTATAATTAAGCATGTGGTTCACAATGGTGAAATTATGGTGAGAAAAACAATATCACGTCAAATCAAACCATATCATAAAAATAGGCATAAAAATAACACATACAATAATAAATTCTACTTTAGAAACATATTAGGTTTTTTGCCGACGTTACGCTACGGATAGAATAAAATATACAAAATCATTTAGAAAAAATATTTTAGTTTGATAGTTTGTTTTATACTGTAAATGTATAAAAATATATGAAATCAAAGATGAAAAAAATATTTTAAATTTTCTAATGTAATTTCAAATTAAATGGATGAGAATTTTAAAAAAATGACAAATTAAAGTAAAAAAATTTAAATAATAAAAATAATGAAAAAAAATTCATTGAAAAAGAAAAAATATTTATATAAATTATAATGATATATTTAAAAAATAAAACACCGACATGTTCATATATTAAAAAAAATTGTTAACAAATAAAATTAAATCAAAAAATTATTTTTATGTGAATTTTAATAAAAAATAAATAATTAAAAATTCAATTTAAACAATAAAAGATATATATATATATATATATATATATATATATAGAGAGAGAGAGAGAGAGAGAGAGAGAGAGAGAGAGGGTGCCCGGTTGCACAATGAAAAAATAAAATAAAAAAGGGAGGGAGGCTAGGCAGTGCGCTTTGGTGATAGACACATTATATTATATTTTTATTCTCCTTAAATTCAGTTGAATTGCTATGTTTTATGTCTTAATAGGTTAATTAATGTTCATATTTATTTATAAGAAATAAATTTGGGATTAGGAGTAATTATGTTAAAAGTTAAGAATTCCAAGCACGTTTTCACTTAGACTTTCTGTCTTTCTTGTAGGTTTTTGGTAGATTGAGAGTTTGAATTGAAAGAAGTGGCTTCATAACTTTTATATGGGACATCTCAAGGTTTTCAGAATGATGTGTTGGGTCAAAATCCAAGTTCTTTTGGATCTCCAAATAATATCTCAAAATCCGATCAGAGAAGTCGATGTGGAATCCCGTTAGGCTCGGAACCAATTTCGGTCATTAATTCATAATTGGAGTTATAAACGACTAATTGATGCAAATCCAATCCTAATAAAGAGTTAAGACCCATATTCACAACTTTGATTAAGGGCCTAAGTCCAAAGTAGGTGGGTTTAAAGTTGAAAAGTAGTCGGCAAGTCGTTTCCTAATTCGGTCGGATTAATTTGCATAATTTTAGTGTTTAGCACGCAATTCGAGTTTTAGACCTTCAATTGATGCAAAACCAACGGCATTGGAAAGATAACGGATCAGACTAAAACTCTTCCAAAGAAAGAAATCTCTAATTCGAATGTATCCGGTCCGAAATTGGCGACAAAGACAAAACATGAAATCGGGATTATGATTTTTTAGGAGATAACTTAGAAAGAGTTATGATTATATTAGAATTCTATCATCATCTGATTTTTGAGAGGATATTTTCAGATTGAGAGGATATTTTCAGATTAAAATGGAGAGAACACGTTCTCTCGCTGGCTTTCTCTTTTGGGGGGGGGAATTAATTTATTTTGAAGAACCATAAAAGAGTTTTTTTGACGACGAGATCTTACTCTTTTCTTTCAAATAAATCCGTGCTCTTAAAAGCCATAAGTGGCTAAAGTCTACGATTCGACTTAAGGGAATTCAGTCCAAACCTATGTGATTGTGAGACCTATGTTGTTCTTATGTGTGTTATTGATTGATAATTGCAATTGATATTTGTTTGATAAGGGCCCATTGAATAAATATTAATTGGAATCTATTGCTAAACTTAATGTGGTAATCTGTAATTGTTATCATATTGTTCATAGTAGCATATGTATTTTCAATGATTGTGATCCTAGCTTTCGTTATTAATCCTTAAGAACATAGTATGGATTAAATGGTTCTCGCTTGTGTTAAATCATTGTTCATAGTAATCTCTTCCTAGAACCTAATGTTGTTATTTAATAGAGGATCGCTTGTATACCGAATCATTAGATAACAAGGATTAATCTAAGTGCTTCACCTGAATTAATTACTTAGGGAAGAAATAGGTTATATTTTCGCTTATGAGTATAACTTGATTGCTTAATTAATGTTTGATGGTATTATCTTTTGTTGTCGATGATCAATCACCCATTTGGATGAAAGAATTACCCTTGGGTTGGAGTTTCTAATTACTGATTTATAATTTTATTTTGATTTGTTTTTGTTTAATTTTGAATTTTTAGCAAACAATCCCCTTTACTTTTGTTATTCACTATTTATTAATCACAATAGTCTCTGTGGGTTCGATCCCTATTCCCCTATCTACATTATTATTGATTGCCGGGAATAGAGTTTATTTTTGATGTCTTGTGACATGCATCAAATTTTGGCACCGTTGTCGGGGATTAGCGTTGGTTAATTTTTATCGAATTTTTTTGTTAGTTTATGACTCGATCCTCCACCTCCGAAGAATTGATTTTTAATCCAGAAATTGAAAGAACTACTCGCGAGGTTAAGAAAAGCAACTAGATAATCTCGAGCGAAAAGAGCAATTGCTATTTCACCGAGTATAAACGTTGCTTTACGATCGATTGTTCTTCTAGTGATTTCGAAGGTGAGGAGATGGCTGTAAACAACAATGTAAACAAGACTTTAAAGGAGTTAGCTACTCCTAATTTTAATCGACAACCTTTATGCATTCGGTATCCTAATCTTGATGTTGCTTTTGAATTAAAATCCGGTTTGATACACTTATTGCCAAAGTTTCATGGTCTTGCAGGTGAGGATCCGAACAAGCATCTAAAAGAATTCCATGTTGTGTGTTCAAGCATGAGACCGACGGGGTGTCCGAGGAGCAAATTAAATTGAGAGCTTTTTCATTTTCTTTGGCGATGACGCCAAAGATTGGCTTTATTATTTACCCTCGGGCTCAATCAGCACATAGAATGAGATAAAGAGATCGTTCCTAGAGAAGTATTTTCCAGCATCAAAGGCTACAAGCATTCGCAAGCAAATATGTGAGATACAACGAGAATAATGGAGAGGCGTTTCATGAGTATTGAGAGCGATTCAAGAAATTATGTGCTAGTTGTCCGCAT